TAACTTCAAACCCATAAATTCATGTTCAGTTGGTTCTATTTTGTTTATAAACCTTTCAATGTATAATTGAGATACATTAAACTGTATATATTTAAAATATATAATTTGATAAGTTCTGATACATACATATACTCATGAAATCACTACACAATCAAGATTAATGAACACACCCCTAAAAGCTCCCTCCAGTTTCTTTGTAATCTCTCCTTCCTGCACTCTGTCACACCCTGGCAAATGCACATAAAACTAATGATCTGCTTTGTTACCATAGATTAAATTGAATTTCCTATATTCTCAATATAAATGGAATTGTACAGTATATACTTCTTGTCTGGCTTCTTTCAATGAACACAATTATTATGAGTTTCATCCAATCAGTATTCCAATCCTCTTTCATTTCTGACTAGTATTCCATTCCATGGGTAAGCAATCTGTTTGATTCACCTGCTGATAGACCTAGAAGTTACTAGGTTTTAGCTATTAAAAACAAAGTTACCATGAACATTAGTGAACAAGTCTTTGTATGGACATATGCTTTCACTTCTCTTGGGTAAATACCTAAGAAAGGAATGGCTGGACCAAATAGCATATGTGTATTTAACTTTCTAAGACTGAAAATCAGTGCAACATTTTACATTCCCATGAGAAGAAAATTGCACTTCCTCCATAATCTGGCCAAACATTTGATATGCTCAGTTTTTAAACTTTAGCCATTCTAACAAATGTATGGTAATATTTCACTGTGTCTTCAATTTACATTTCTCTGATAACTAAAGAGAGTATCTTTACCTGTGTTTATTCACCATCCATGTATCTTTGGTAAATGTTCAAATCACTTGCCCAAAAACCCATTTTTTGTTGGGTTGCTTCTTTTCTGATTGAATTTTGAGAGTTCTTTATATATTCTGACTGACTGGTAGTCCTTTATTAGACAAATGCTTTGCAAAGATTTTCTTCCAACCTGTGGTTTGTCCTTTCATGCTCAAAACAGTGTCTTTCCAACAGCAAAATATTTTCATTTTGATAAAGTCCAATTCATCAATATTTTCTTTTATAGAACATACTTCTGGTATTCTGTATATAAGGAATTCTGCCTTAAATCAATCACAAAGATTTTGTCCTATATTATTGTATAGAATTTCTATAGTTTTGGTCTTGATACTTAGTTCTATCAGTTAATTTTGAATATGGTACAAAATACAGATCCAAATTCACTGTTATGCACGTGGATGTCCAATTGTGCCAGCACCATTTGTTGAAAAGACAATCCTTTCTCCTCCAAACTTCCTTTCACCTTTGTCAAAAATCAGCTGTCTATTTATGTGTGAATCTATTTCTGGACTTTCTGTGCCATCAAACTTTACACTGGTATCATTGTTTTGATTACTGTAGTTTTATAATAATTACTGAAATCACGTAGTATCCTTTTTTATAGATTCCATCAGTTATCCTACATAAATGACAATGCCTTTTGGAAATAAAAAAATTATTTCTTCTTATGCAATCTGGATGTCTTTTCTTTCTTCTTGTCTAATTGCCTTGACTGGAATCTCCAGGACCACTGCATACATTCTGAAGTGGTGAAAGCCAACATCCTTGAACTGTTTCTGATCTTCGGGGAAATTATTCAGACTTTCATCAGTAAAAATTACACTATCAGTAGGCTTTTCCCCAACTTAAATTTTATGAAGTTAAAAAAGCTCCCTTCTATTCCACAATTGCTATAAGAAATTTTATCAGGAAAATATATTGGATTTTGGCAAACACTTTTTCTGTGACTACTGAGATGATTATACGATTTCTTTTTTTAGTTTGTTAATATGGTGATGTACTCTAACTACATGCCAAACGCTAAACCTACTCTATGTTCCTAGGATGCCATTTAATTCTGCAAAGTGATTAATACAGTGATGCTAGTATACATGTAGATAAAAGATTTTCAACCTTCATTATCACTTTGCATTCAAAGTTGGTAAGACAATTATAGATAGATAACAGAATGAAAACATATCAATCTGAACATTAAAAATATAAACAGTAGTTAGAAAGTAGAAAGTTACAGTTAGAAGTAGAAGCAAAAAGTTAACAGAATTTAGAAAATAAGGGAGAAGTGGCAGAGGGAAGAATAGGGGCACTGCTAACTTCATTCTATACAGTGAGAAGTCAAGGGATTCTATCAAAAGTTGATGTAAGAAAAAAATTTAATGTATGTATATTATGTTACTTAAAAGCACAAGATAACCAGAAGAAATAAAACCATTAACACACTTGTTTGCAGGCATGTTTCTGATTAGCAAAGTATATTTTTTAAATTTGTATCTGAATTTCATAGGATAAGACATCCTCCAGTTTGTCCTACACCCCCCAACCCATTTCCTATTATATTACAACAGACCAAATTTACACATTTATAAATTCTTGCCTGATCCTTCGACATTTGAATTTATCCAAATAAAGAGTTATGGAGGTAATCTCTAAGACATTTAAAAGAACCAAACTTGTTACAAATGGTTGTCTCCCCACCAAATCAGTTGTATTTCTATGTACCAGCAATGAACAATCCAAAAATAATATTAAAAAAAAATCCCACTTACAATAGCATCAAAAATAATTAAATACTTAGGATTCGATTTAACCAAGGAACTGTGAGACTTGTGAACGTAAAACTACTAAAAACTGTTGAAACAACTTAAAGACAACCTAAATAAATGGAAAGACATCCCCTGTTCATGAACTAGAAGACTTAATATTGTTAAAATGGCAATGTTTCTAAAACCAGTCTACAAATTAAATGCAATCCCATTCAAACTTTCAACTGCCTTTTTTGCAGGAACAGACAAGAGGATCCTAAAATTAACATGGAATTGCAAGGGACTTCGAATAGCCAAAACAACCTTGAAAGACAACAACAAAGTTGAAGAGCTCACACTTCCTGAATTAAAAACTCACTACAAAGCTACGGTAATCAAAACAGTGTGGTACTGGAATAAGGAAAAACATACAGACTGATGTAATAGAACTGAGAATCCAGAAATTAACCCAAACACCCCGGTCAACTGATTTTCATCAAGCATGCCAAAACCACCATTCAGTGCGGAAAAGTACAGTCTCTTCAATAAATGATGCTGGGACAACTAGATTTTCACATGCAAAAGAATGAAGTGAACCCTTAAGATACATCTTATACAAAAACTAACTCAAAATGGATCAAAGATCTAAATTTAAGAGTTAAAACTAAAACTCTTAGAAGAAAACAGGCACAAATCATCATCATCTTAGATTTAGAATGGGTTTCAGATATGAAAGCAAAAGCACAGGGTACAAAAGGAAAAACAGATAAACTGAACTTCATCAAAATTTAAAAACTTTTTTGTTTTAGAGGACACTTACAAAAAAGTGGGGAAAAAAAACCCACAGAATGGAAGAAGGTGTTTGCAAATCATGCATCTGATAAGGTTCTAGTATTAAGAATATATAAAGAACTCTTACAACTCAACAACAAAAAACAAATTAAAAAATGGGTGAAGAATTCCAATACACATTTTTCCAAAGATATACAAATGGCCAATAAGCACATGAAAAGATGTTCAACATCATCAGTGATTAGAAAAATGTAAATCAAAACCACAATATGACTTTATACCCACTAGGATGGCTATAATTTTAAAAAGGGAAAAGAACAAGTCTTGCTAAGGATGTGGAGAAAATAGAACCCTCACCTGTAACTAGTTGGAATGTAAAATGGTACAGCCAGTGTTTTAAACAGTCAAATGGTTCCTAAAAAAGCTAAACACAGAATTACCATGTGACTTAGCATTCCACTCTAAAATGTATACTCTAGACAAATGAAAATATATTGTCCATGCAAAAACTTGTACACAAATATTCACAGCGGCTTTGTTCATAATAGCCCCAAAATGAAACCACCCAAAGCATCCATCATCAGTGTGTCCATCAATGGATGAATGGACAAACAAAATGTGTGGTATGTATACAATGGATTATTATTCTGCCTTAAGAAGGAATGAAGTACTGATACATGCTACAACATGAAGAACCTTGAAAAACATCATGCTAAGTAAAATAAGCCAGACACAAAAGGCCACATATTGTATGTCTCTATTTATATGAAATAAAATGTCCAGAATAGGCAAATCCATAGAAACAGAAAGCAGACTGGCAGTTCCCTGGAGATTTGGGCAAGGTGGGGAGGGCAGGTTGAAAATACTGAAATGACCACTAAAAGAGTACTAGTTTCTTTTTGGGGTGATGAAATGCTCTGGAATTAGGTAGTGGTGATGGTTGCACAACACTGCAAATGTCCTGGCAGTCACTGGATTATACACTTTAAAATGGTTAAAATTATGAATTTCAAGTAAATTATACCTCAACAATTTTTTTTTAAAAGTGGTTGCCCCTGGACATAGAACTTGGGGTGATCAAGTAGAAGGACCTTGATTTCTCATTATTAATCCTTTTTTAGTACTTAATTTTTTCCTTGTACCAAATAGTCTCAGACAGTCAGATTAAATAAACACAAAATGATTTCTCAGCTAAATTAACAACACTGAAAGTTACTATTAGGGGAAAATAGTGGAAATTCATGGCATTTGGGTTATGTCCTGATACTCTTCTTGCCCTTTCTAATCCTATTCCTTCTCCCATTCATGTTATTATGGTACCACTATAGATGTAGTTCATTGATGGTAATTTTTAAATGTGGAAATTAAATCATGAAGTAAACCACATACTTCTTCCTTGAAAAAATTAAAAATAAATTTCAAGTGAAAATAGCAATAGGAATGAACAAACGTACCTAAGTTTTCCCAGGGAAAAATATGGTCAATTATTTAATAAGTAATAATATTCTACTTGCTAATAGCAGGTTTATATTTCTGGAGTTTTCCTCCAATTGAAGATGTTAAGAAAGTAAATTCTAAAGTTCTCATCAGTTTTTCTTTAAGTTTCACATAGTACATATAAAAAAGCTTAATACTTACTTATCAAGGAAATCCTTATCCACTACAGCAGTGATGTCAAGAAGAGGATTTCCCATTCCAAAGAGAATATTTTCACTAAAAAAACAGAAACAAAATACAAGCACAAGTGAGAAATACTTCTGAAAATAAGTGATGTGTAAAATGCACACAATATAAAAATAAGTATCTTCACTTTACCTTGAAAATAAATGTAACATACTAGTTTATTAAACCTTTGATTTGCCTATTATGTGTGGGGCAACATTTTAGAGGTAGAACAAGGACATTCAGAAAGGAGAATGACTTTTAAGTTGGAGGAACTAAAATATAACAGAAGAAATCAGATCAAGTGATTTTCTTCCCACAGTATTTAACAGCCAATGACTGCAGCTAATTAATTTCAATGTTCTTTTTTTTTAAGGTCTATCATAACAAAGTTCTACACCCAACCAGCATGATAGACAATTAACTCTCTCTAACAAGTGAAATACTGAACAAATGAAAGTTATTAGGGAGCATACAGCAAGTCCTGGAGAAGTCCAGTCAAGAGCCTTATCCCTAAAAATCTGTGAATGACTGGGGTGGGAACTTCACAATGGGTATCATAGATGCTGTAATTTTCAATTACATTTAACAGGCTTTGAGGAAGTCTGTTTTCCAAAACAGATCATAATATGGCTCAAAACTGAGGGAAAGACAGAACTCCACCCAAGTGATACCTTCAGCCCAAATGAAAGCAAGAAATGGACCAGTGGCCATAACTGGGTCAGCCTCCATGGAAGGCATTCCACTAGTTTATGCAGTAAAATTTACCTCTGTGTAATTTCCCACTGATCTCTAGTTTGCTCAAGTTCTCTTCCAGTTGCCTCCAAACTGGTGACCATCCTCCTCATTTGGAGGTTACCAATAATATTAACAGGATCAATACCCCAAAGCTGCTTTAGGAGAATGAGGCACAGCCTACAATTATAGTCTATAATGATTTAGAAGAATGAATTATATTCAGATGAATTTCTCTTAGTAAAATTATAGATTGTGCAACTACAGTTGAATATGCAATAAAAAAGAAATTTGTCCCTTTTTCTATTTAAAGAAAGCTGATGGTGAAAAGGAAAGATAATTCATTGATTTAGTCACACTGACATTTATTAAAAAAAAAGTCTAATACAAAAAGAAAATACTTAAGTTCTTAGAAAATGAAGGATCAGCAGGCAGATACAGTAACACTTGATCATCGTTTCATTAGGGACATCTCTCCGTGATTTATGTATTGTTAGTCTAACAATAAAAATTCCTAGAACTTATTTAAAAAGAAAAGTACAGGGGAAATACAACTGAGCTGCCTGGCTGTTTCCTTTTATTCACCCCTTTTAAGTGTTCAGTTCATTATAAATAGTCATGTAACCACGACCAAAATCAAAATATGAAACATTTCCATCACCACACAAAAAAACCATCCTGTCTTCATGTCAGTCTCTCCATCCCCAACTGGTCTCCTCCTGGTTTTAAGGAATACAATTAAAAAGAATATAACTGTGACTTCTTCTTAAGAAGTCAGTCCTTTGTGCATCTCCTGCATTCTCAAAATAGTTCCTTACACTCTATTTGAAAATTTAGTAAAAATAATGTTGCCAAATTAATGCAACCTCTCTGGGCATATGGCTTCTACAGTCAAAGAACTATGGGGGGGGGTGGCAGGGAGGAATGAGCACACTGAATCACAATAACCATGTTTAAACTCATTCCTAAATTTATTTGTCCAACAAAACCTTTTCCTATGAATATAACTGGACAAGAACATGTAAAATGTGATTCAGAACTCCCCGTCTAAAGGACAAAAGATGAAATACTTATACACTGCCTACTGCCCCTCGCTGCAAGAAGTATGTAACATAAACCCTGATGAGAGATGCATTCTACTTTCAGAAACATTAAAATGTGAAGAAATATGCATATTACAATCATTGAAATACAGTGCCTCTTTATCTCTCACCATTCTAACACATACATACAATCTATTTTCTAATCACAATACCTCACTGTTCCCTGAAGAAGTCCCTAACTGTAAAGTACTTCATCCTAGTTCTTTTGTCTAGCAAACTCCCATTCATCTTTTTAAAATGTCTCATATGCCAGCTGTCTTAGAAAAATCTTCTCTAACTCGTACCCAAGGGTTCTCATGTAAAACTGTCCCCTGCACAACTCCAGAGGGCTCTATTCACGATGTGAAAGATAGCTCTTATAAAGTAAGGCACTGCTGCTCTCCCTCCCAGTTTTACTCATTTCCTCCCTCTAGGTTCTGTTAAGTCCTTGATGAACTTTTTAATTGATTTTTAAGGGTTTCTTTGTACTTCATCTCAATCGACTTATCTCAATATAAAGGGTAAATTTTTTTTAATCTTAATTACAGTTGTATTCTCAATGGCTAGCATATGATAATCTCACGGGCCTTGAGGGATTTTGCGATTCTAGACTGTGATTTTTTCGATCAACAGACTGCTGCTTCTCTCAGGCTCCCATAGATCAGGGCTGGGTTTACAGTAAGGTTATATTTTAAAGATACTTAAATCAAAGATCAAATAATATAACACTAATTCAAGATAGTTTGTCTCAAGTTAAAAATAAATATTGCATTTCCTAGAGCAATCACAAAATGATAACACAATGAGGTATAGCTAAAAAAATTCAACAAAAAATATAAAATGAAAAATTAAAATATAGTCAATTTAGGAAAAAAGGCAGAAATAACATAATAACATACAAGATAAGCAAAACAAAAAGATGGTGTACTTAAATGAAACCATATCAGTAATTACATTAAATGTATATGGATTAAACACTCCAATTAAAAAATAAAGACTGTCACACTGGATTAAAAGAAAAAACAAATGTCATATACTAGAGATACATGCTAAATACAAAGATATAGACAGTTTGAAAATAAAAGGCTGGATAAAATAATACCATGCACACAATAATCAGAAAAAATCTGCAGTGGCCATATTAATATCAGACAAGGTAGGCTTTAAAATAAGGAGTATCACCAGATATAAAAGGATTTCATAAAAATAAATAGGTCAACTCACAAAAAAATAAATGCTTCATAATAGTCAGTGGAAAAAAAAACTTGAGAGAAACAAAAGAAACAGACAAATGCACAATCTTAGGTAGTTGTAACACCCCTCTTTTAGTAATTAGTAAAACAGACAACACAAAAATAAGTTGGGGAGGTATAGCTCAGTGGTAGAGAGAGTGCTTAGCATGCACAAGGTCCTGAGTTCAATCCCTGGTACCTCCATTAAAATAAATAAACTTAATTACGCAACCCTCCCCAAATAAATAAATATGTTAGGAATTGTACTACTGGATATTTATCTCAGAGAAATGAAAACTTATAACTTCATCCATCTGGGCCTGGAATGTTGTTCAGGTGAAGGGGGTGAAAGGTTTTAAATTACAAATTCAATGTCTTTAATTGATAAATAATTATTCAGATTTACCATTTTTTCCTGTCAGTTTTGAGAAGTTGCATTTTTAAAAAAATTTATTGTAAGTTGAATTGTTAAAAATTTGCTCATAGTATGATGTTATTGCCTGTTGGAACTGTTTTATGTCCCCCTTTTTATTCCTGATTATTGGTATCCCTCCTTTCTTTAACTTTTTGGGGTCAATCTTGTTCAGGGTTTATCAGTTGTATTAATCTTTTCAAAAACCCTGATTTTGGTTTAGTTGAACATATATATATATATATATGCATTTTTTATATAAAGTGTTCCCCTCTCAGTATTTCATTAACTGCACCATACAAATTTTGATACTCTTCATAACAGCTTTACTGGTAATAGTAAAAAAAAAAAAAAAAAAAGGGAAACAACCCAAATCCCAAATGTCCTTCAACAGATGACTAGGAGAACAAACTGTGGTACACCCATACAAAGGACTAATACTCAGCAATAAAAAGGAATGAACTATGATACAACTTGGATGGATCTCAAAGGCACTGTACTGAGTGAAAATAAAATCTTATCTATGTGTATGTGTATAGAACCTATGTATGGTTCCATTTACTTATCATTCTCAAAGTGACAAAATTATACTGAGGAAGAACAGATCAGTAGTAGCCAGGGGTTAAGGTTGGGGGGAGGGTGTGACCATGTAGGGATAACACAAAGGAGTTTCTTTGTGATGACACAACAGTTTAGTACCCTAACTGTGTTAATCGGGAATCTGGACATAATAAAATTTCATGTTAGCTATACACCACCACCACACCAATAAAAAATAGTGTATGCAAAGACTGGTGAAATTCTAATAACATCTGTGGTCAACTTAACAGTACTATACTAACATCAATTTCTTGGTTTTGGTAATATACTATGGTTATGTAAGATTTATCATTGGAGGAAGTTGGGTAAAGGCTGCACAGGACTCTCTGTACTCTTTTTACAACTTCTTGTGAGTCTTCCAAAAAAAAAACTTGTAAAGTATTTCAAAAGAAAGAGAAAGTAGGGATATTGAAAAAAATGTTTAAAAAACAATTAGGGTGATATCATGAGGAATGGCAGAATAAGGGCCTCCAAAAATCATCTCTTCCATAAAAGCAACAAGAACACTAGCAAAATATGTCAAAATCAACACTTTCAGAACTCTACAAATTAATGAAAGGCTTGCAACATTCAAGAAGCATTTATTCAAGGGGGGAAAAAAGACTGAATCTCAGTGAAAATAGCAAGGTTTGTGGCATTATAACTTGCCCCACTCTCTTTTCCCCTCCCCAGCTCCACAGCAGCCTTAAAAGTAACAGTTCAAAAACATAGTGGAAATGAGGAGCCTAGCAGCCACTGGAGGAGTCGGAACAGAATTGGAGTTTTTCCAAAGCCCCATTTTCAGAGAACTGCTATTATTTGAGCTTACTGGCAGTTCCCTGAAAAACCCCTACTCGCAAGATTACTCATTATTTGACCTGACTCAGAGCTTGCCCAGTGCTAACAGCCTTTTCCCCAGGGGCATTTGTCAAAAACAATCAGCTGCAATTGTTTAACACCGGAGCCATCTGAAGCAGTTGGGGCAAACAACAAGCTAACCAAAAAACCTAA